GTGGGCCCTCCGTGTACGTACTTCCTCTGGACCCTTCAATTTCCACAAGATTCATGCTGACACGTTCTTGATGCACAACACTTAAAACAAAATTTTCATAGATATGCATTCAATTTTTCATAAAATTATTATTTCTTAATAAATCTTTGTACATAATTTCTAATTAACGAATTACACAATGTGTGTGTAATAATTATAAATCTAAACTTGCTTATAGTAAACCTCCAAAACCAGATCCTACTACTATAGAACATGAGAGCTATATAAATGTTCACCAAACAAATGAAGAAAAAACGAATGGAGCCTGAGATGTTTATAGCCAATGAAAGAGTAGCGGTGACAGCATGAGCGAGATGCTAACAACCAATGAATGAGTAATATCAGTATCAGCATGAGGAGTCTGATTACAGCACCATTTTTCCTCATCATTTAATACACTTGATGGGGCTGTTGGGCACTTGTGCTCCTCCATAAATTTTTACAGAGTCTCCAAACTTTCCAACCCCCTGCATTTATAATATACTCCCTAAACTTTGTTTTTTATATTAATGCCACTAAAATCATCCATATTACATCAAAAATACCATCTTTTTAAACTTTAAAAAGTGATTTCCAAATTTTCATGAATGGATAAGATCGTTTGTATGTAAAAAAATGAAATTTTGGTATTAGATATGTAAAAACATAAGAATTGAGTGGTCTGTATGTAAATCTTTCATAAACATTTAAAAGTTCAATTAAATTTTTACCACCGACCTTAGCTTAGCCCACCAACACTACAAATAGCTCCCTCCCTCAGTAAAGCTGTCCTCATTCCATCTCCTTCTTCTTCCGACCTGCCCTCCCAATCTACGCCATGACAAACCATATAGCACTAACAATGCAGCAAAACTTAACATCCAACCTCCCCAATCCTCTGCAACCAACCCTCACATCCATTCTTCATCACCACTATCCCATCCCATCCCTTCTCCTCCCCATCCTCATCTTCCTCATCTCACTCCTCACCCTCATCATCTCCCACCGCCCCCGCCCAATCTATCTCATCAACTTCTCCTGCTTCAAACCACAGAACCAATACAAAGTCACGAGAGAAACATTCATGAAACAATTCAAAAGCAGGGGAACGTTCACCGATGAGAGCGTGGGGTTCCAGCGCCGGATGCTGGAGAGGTCCGGCATCGGGCAGGAAACTTACCTTCCTGAATCTCTTCTAGGAACGCCGATCAACATGTGCGCGAAGGCGGCGAGGAAGGAGGCGGCGATGGTGGTGTTTGGAGCGGTGGATGAGCTGATGGAGAAGACGGGAGTGAGGGCGAAGGATATTGGTGTGGTGGTGGTTAATTGCTCCATCTATAATCCGACGCCCACCATGGCAGCGATGCTTGTTAATAGGTATAAACTAAGGGGGAATGTGAGAAGCTATAATCTTGCGGGGATGGGCTGCAGCGCGGGAGTTATAGCGCTTGATTTGGCCAAGCGACTTCTTCAGGTTGGTTTATAACGCATAAATTATAATTCGTTTCATTATTGATTTTTTTTATATAGAAAATTTCAACTTATTTCATTAATGATAACTAATGATAGTGCAAAAAAAGTAATTTTTAATGGAAAAAATATTAGGTTCCATAGATTTATGATTAGCCAATAAGAAAGAAGAGAGAATATGGACATACACATTCTCTCTCTTCTTATTGCATGGCCATTATTTTCTTTTAAATGAGCATGAAAACTAATATACTATAATATATTGTTTGATGTATGAATTAAATGTTAATGATTGTATTAATCAAGCATCATTAATTTATTGGGGCATTTACATACATATCACATATTATATATATATATATATATATATATATA